TGTGCAAACAGCAGGCTAGATATTAGTCACAGTAACACCAGAATTTGTTATATGCTTAGACACCATTGGATAACATTATTCCAAAAATATAATGAAGTTAAAAAAATGTTCTGTCATCATTGTGCATTAGGTGCAAAAGTAGTGCTGCACTTCCAATAGTACCTTTAACATTAGCTCTACAGTCACAGGTATTAAGAATGGTACCCATGACAACATTTGTGTGTAGTGGTTGTGATTAAAGTAAACATTTGCAAGTCAATAATAGTTTCTTCTAATTTACAGCGGGGAAACTGCTCTGATAACACTGTTTGGTAATAGCTGGCTCTTCAATAACTGCATTTAATATTAACCAATAATAAAATCTTGGTTTCAGGCCTTGAAGAGTCAGTATTTAACTGATCAAAGCTCAATAGCATTAGCTACTCTATTATATAATGGAGTTGGAAGTAGCAATTAAGATGCTATTTTTATGCAGAAATTCTGTTTTGGATGCTAGAATATAAATAGCCAATTGGACCGTCCCCCACCTGCTTCCCTCCAAATCCCTCCTCTCCCACAGACCCTCAACCCCCTGTGTACCTGCCTCTTACCTGAAAGCAGCAGCTTTTGGTTCTCCACCCAGGTAGTCTATCACCTGGGTTGTGAATGATAGAGACTGGTCCCTGACATTGATCAGTGGAAACTGCCAGTGACAGTGGTGCCATCTTCACTGTAAATCATGGTGTTGTGAAGCAGTATGAGTATTTGTGCTCTTTTTTTCCCTGCTTTGTGGTGATATCAGAAGCTGCACTTAGCTGGAAGGCAAGGGTACATTTAGTACAGCTGGAGGGGAGGAGTTGTGGAATATGTGTACCTGGGTGACTGAAAGAGGGAATAAGCAATAGACGCAGCAACCAGTGAGAAGGATCAGGTATCAAGAACAATAAGATCTAAACCAGCCTTTTGCATAATATTTGGTTGCCATTAGTATTTTTGAGTTATTTTTCCCTAGGAGGAAAAAGTAATTGGGAAATATGTCTATTAATCTGGCTATTCCACTATAGTTGTTCCTTAGTACTCATGGCACATTATCACTAACAAGAGAATCAAGTTAAATATGGATGTCAGCATGTTAAAACATTCAGATGAAGAATTAAGGGGAGAGAAGTTGGAGAAAGAATATACAAAATGAAGCCATGGGAATATGTTTGGATGGTATGCTTCCTGCTACTTCCTTTTATTTAACTGATTTGGAAAGTTGGTGTAGGAGTGTAATATTGGGATTACAGAAGTGGTTTTGGGTGTATTAGAGAGAGAGGTTGTGATGTACAAAATTAGGAAGGATATTTCAGGCATAGATAAAAAGAAACAAAGGCTGCATGGTCCAAGCAAACGAATGCTGGAAAGGCAAGATTTTATATACCCTTATTCTAGTCTAGGCACAGCCATGAGGAGGAGGAAGCTGAATATGATGCAGAGTCAGAGAACGGACTCAGTATATGACATGGTTATAACAGCAGGAAAGGAAGATGAGTTTGTTGGTGGCATTTCGAATGGATTGGAAGATGGAAGCCGGGTTTGACAGAGCAAAGGAGTTTGCAAGAGTCTAGTCATCAACTTATTAAGGCAGGAGAAGAGTTGTATTTATGGAGAGAGAGTGACATATACTGGAAAACATTGAAGTTGTTACAGAATTCAGTAGCAGCCTAATTGTGAGAGGTGGAGTCATTTATGACACTGCAACCCCAAGGCCGGGATGTGGAATAAGTAGGGAGAGATCTGTTTTTAGCCATTTAGTTTTTTTGGAGGCAATACATCAGGAAATTGTCATATCTCTATGCCACTGATCAGGGGTGGAAATAGTAGAGTTGGGAGTGGTATGTGTAATTTGGTAGCCGTGAATGCAGATATGACCTTAACCTCAGGAAAAGAAGGAAGAAAAGGGGAACAAGAACCAGAATCCTGCAGTTCACTAAGAGTGGAGGGAAGTAGAACAATTGAAGGAGACTATAGTGGTAGGGGGTATAAAAGGATGGTGTGGTCAGCAGTGTAACAGACTATTGAATGAATATGGAGAAAAGATGCAAGAAAGGTGTCATTAGACACTTGGAAAATAGTGAATAGATTGGAGAAGAGTCGAGGAGAGTGAACTGACAAGAAAACCAGAGTTCAGAGCTTGCTCAAGGACTTGGAAGTCAAATGGGTGATAGTTGGAGAGGCAGAAGGGCTTTTAGGGTACAGGAAACAGTGGTATGTGTGAAGGCAGAGGAAAAAAACACCAGCTGGGGAAGGAAGAGCATGAGAGTAGGCATGAAGGCAAATGACAGAGGATCAGAGTAGAACACCACCTGTATTGGAGACCATAGAGAAAAATAGTTCATGAGGTAGTTCTTATCTTTTTGTGGTGAAAACTAGACTGAGATGAAGTGTCAAAGAACGACTTCTATATCTAATTAGGAAGGAGAATCAGTTGGCAAGCCAAATGGTAGATAATTCAGGGTCTATGTTGACTTTCTCCACTACAAATTTTTCATCCAAAGGACTACAATGCCAGGATATAGGATAAGTGGGATGGATTTAGCAAAAGAAACTAGTGTGGTTATGAGTGGGATGGAATATGAAAACTATAGTCCGAACAGGATATTTACGGACAGGAGTTTGCAGAAGGAAAGTGGAATGGGAAGGTAGCAACATTAAAGGAAGAGATGATTGTCAAAAGAAACTTCAGGACTGAAATACAAGAAACACAACTGTGCGTTGAAGAAAGTCTTGCAATAAAGGTTGTGGGTGCAGGAGTCAGATCCGAGGTGAAGATCAAAGCAGGACAAAGAAGCCATAAAGTTGATGCTTCTGGAAATTAAAAACCACCTACACCTTTGAGGAATCATGACAAGTTTTGCTGTACTGTGGAGATATAAAATGAAATCTAAATAAATAGGAACAGCAAATTTGACAATCAGAAGTTTAGAATGTGTATATAATAGCTTTATTAGCAAGAATATTGTAAATGTTACAGATTTTCACATTTTTGAGGACAAAGGTAAAGGTATTAGAGCCCTTTAGATGTTGCTTTTGAAAACAGAATTCTAAATATTTCTTTTTGCAAAGCATTTAGTCTACATGTTATAAAACCAAACCCCACATTAATTTGTAGATATGAACACTGCTGTATTTGTACATTTATGAAGCTTTAAATGCTAGCTGCATCTGACAGAATGTTCACAAAATCTAGAGGGGTTAAATCTCTACTCCTAGTAGCTCAGCAAATGTTACTAGCAAATCTTGCTAAAAGCTTGTCAGAATTTGTTCTTTCACTGTAGTTCTTTGACATTTGCATATAAGTTTCCCCCAGAAAGCAGTGCAACAGAATATTTTAATCTTTGTTCTTCTGATTCAGATTTCCACTCGGTTTAATGCTGGAAACATTTAAATATTTTTTCTCCCTTGCAGGAAAACACCGTAAGACAACTACACAGGCACTATCCCCAAACAGTTTTCTGGGAAGTTAAAAAGAACCACCACCAAAACAGCATTACATATTCTCCAGTATCTTTGCAAGAACCCAATAGAAATTTTACTTGTCCTTCTGTATCCAATATTTTTAAGCTTGCATTTACTGAAGAGAGGTACCGATACACCATGACCATACTTGTACTTCTGATATTAATATTCCTTGTGTTGTATTTTCTTTGATGTCACCATTTAAAATGTCTTGAGTTTATGTGCAGTGTCATTAGCCCAAAGCTGTACAAGTTATTTTTTCAAAGTTTCTTCATAGACATTTTCACCGAGATTGGCTTGAAAAAGATTTGTGAAATAACATACTGTAAACAGATACGTTTTAACCTCTACAATGTACAAGGCTACATGTGTGTTACGCTATTTTTATTTGGTTGTTTCTATTCTGAACATTAGGCATGCTTCCCAGAACTAGTCCTTTCATAGAGTAATACTAAAAATCGTAGAAGAATTAAATCTCCTGTCTCTTTCATGATAAAGGACTCTGGTATATGTTTGATATATAGACATTGTTACATCTTACTTTTACACTTGCTTCAACAAATAGTTTTAAATACTTGTGCATGTAATTAGTAACTCTATGCTATAATTTTTACAGTGGAATAAAATATAAAATCCACTAGTGTTTATGAAATTAACATTAACTGTCTGCTGCTCTTATTTTTTTCCACTTTTCCTAAGCTCCAGTACTGTACTTTATTCCATTTTACATTTCCCTTAGACTTCCTAAAATATTTCCTTACCTTATTACAATATGGACATTCACCAAAGATGACATTAAAACTTTGTCTGCTAGAAGGAAGGCCTTGTAACCACTGCAAGATAAGATAATGAAAACTTAATATTTATTTTATGCCCAATTTAGGAATGAGTCTAAAGTTCTTATAAACAGTGCTCTTCACCATAGTAGTTGATAAATCCCTGATCTGTAGTGTTTTCACACTGGATTAGGAGCATGCAATTTCGCTGGATTAGTTTTCTGTACAATCTACCTATAATGATTAACTGGTTTCACTTACTGAAAGTACTCTAAAGTGATCCTCTCTCCACTTTCTCCACACTCCCTTCTGAGGTTTTCAGAGCAGTATTACTAAATTGTTCTACTTTTGTAGCACCTAGAAGCTCCTGTCTTGATTAGACCTTTGCTTGTACACACACAGTAAGGCAGGTTCCTTGCCCCCCAAGAGCTTATAAGACATAAGTGAGTGATGGGAGAGAACACTAGGGAAGCAGAAATAAGAACATGTAATTAAGAAGGCTTAGTGGTTCTGCTTCATTGCTGATACAGTTCTCTCTCACCAGTCCTTTACCCGTCACCTAACTAGCTATTTCTACTGCTTCCATAATATTGTCATACAGAAGCCCATATCTGGGATCCATGAATTGGAGACAAGTGGATTTGTTACATTAATAAAAATTTTACCTCAAACAAGCAAGCCTGATGGAAAGGTTGCCCACATCGGGAATCACCACACACTTGGTCTGGAATAGCACCATCAAGTCGGTAAGCATAACAGATACCACAGTCTATAGTGAAGTCCTTAAAAATACAAAACAAAGTATTTCAGACAAGTTAACTTTTTTGTACATTAACATATCTCAGGGTGGAAATGAAGAAGAAATAAAGTACATCACTTTCTAATTATTGTGTATTTCTTCCTTCAGAGGTCCATTTCATCTGTTCCAAGACTGGAACTAGTTCTATTTACCGCCAATAGATGTGATCATCTTCTCCCCACCCCACACCCCGTCATGTTGTTGTACAAGCATCCATCATCTTTGTCTGTCCAAAGCAAAACTAAGGTCCAGCTGCGTACCATCTTTGATGCAATCCATCTATTGCTTCCTCAGGATCTCTTTCCTACCATACTCTCCATGCTATCTTCACCAGGTCCTCTTTGTTCATCCTCTGTATGTGTCCAAACCAGCAAAGTTGCGCTTCCTGGATTTTGTCAGCCACATCACAAACTGGCTTTCATTTCACTGTCTGTCCCTTTGGGTAATCCTTTATTGTGCAAAGACATCTTGTTTCAAATACCTGTAGGCACTGACCTTGAGTCTCTACCACCCAGGCTTCTGCACTATATCACATTGTGGAGTGTGTCACGCTGTCTGGAGTGGCTAACAACAGAGTGCCTACTTCAGGGCAGACTATCAGAAAACAAGGGACGATACCACAGACTGGTGCTATGTTCTATAATTAGATTTCACCATGCCAGCAACAAATTTGAACGCCTGGCTCACTGTACCAGTCTTACCATGGAATCCCCTTAGATTCTCCAGCCTGTCTTGCCACCCAGACAAACTGGACTTTGTGATAATGGTCATTTAAACCCAAAATCACACCACATCAGGTTTCACTTACCCCAGATCAATTGGTATTCCAGATCTTATGCCAAAGACAACACTGGCAGCCAATTCTATAGTAAACTAACTGAAGGTTTATTAGCAAAGAAATAAGAGTTATTGAGAGGTTAAAGCAGGTAAAATATATTAACAGGTCAGTCACAGTTTGTAGCAGTAATGTAATAAATTGCCAGTTTCACAGAAGTTTTTCAGGTACCCAGATTGTCTCTGGGGATTTCCGCTTTGCATCTGGTATACTTCCTTACAAGAGTCATAGAATCATAGAAGATTAGGGTTGGACGAGACCTCAGGAGGTCATGTAGTCCAACCCCCTGCTCAAACCAGAACCAACCCCCAACTAAATCATCCCAGCCAGGGCTTTGTCAAGTCAGGCTTTAATAACCTCTAAGGATGGAGGTTCCACCACCGCAATAGGTAACCCATTCCAGTGCTTCACCCTCCTAGTGAAATAGTTTTTCCTAATATCCAACCTAGACCTCCCCCACTGCAACTTGAGACCATTGCTCCTTGTTCTGTCATCTGCCACTACTGAGAACAGCCTAGCTCCATCCTCTTTGGAACCCTCTTTCAGAGTAGTTGAAGGCTGCTATCAAATCCCCCCTCATTCTCCTCCTCTGCAGACTAAATAAGCCCACTTCCCTCAGCCTCTCCTCATAAGGTCATGTGCCCCAAGCCCCTAATCATTTTCATTGCCCTCCGCTGGACTCTCTCCAATTTGTCATAAGAACATAAGAAAGGCCGTACCGGATCAGACCAAAGGTCCATCTAGCCCAGTATCCTGTCTACCGACAGTGGCCAATGCCAGGTGCCCCAGAGGGAGTGAACCTAACAGGCAATGATCAAGTGATCTCTCTCCTGCCATCCATCTCCACTCTCTGACAGACAGAGGCTAGGGACACCATTCCTTACCCATCCTGGCTAATAGCCATTAATGGACTTAACCACCATGAATTTATCCAGTTCTCTTTTAAACTCTGTTATAGTCCTAGCCTTCACAACCTCCTCAGGTAAGGAGTTCCACAAGTTGACTGTGCGCTGCGTGAAGAAGAACTTCCTTTTATTTGTTTTAAAGCTGCTGCCTATTAATTTCATTTGATCACCCCTTGTTCTTGTATTATGGGAATAAGTAAATAACTTTTCCTTATCCACTTTCTCCACATCACTCATGATTTTATATACCTCTATCATATCCCCCCTTAGTCTCCTCTTTTCCAAGATGAAGAGTCCTAGCCTCTTTAATCTCTCCTCATATGGGACCCGTTCCAAACCCTTAATCATTTTAGTTGCCCTTTTCTGAACCTTTTCTAGTGCCAGTATATCTTTTTTGAGATGAGACCACCACACCTGTATGCAGTATTCGAGATGAGGGCGTACCATCGATTTATATAAGGGCAATAATATATTCTGTCTTATTCTCTATCCCCTTTTTAATGATTCCTAACATCGTGTTTGCTTTTTTGACCGCCTCTGCACAGTGCGTGGACATTTTCAGAGAACTATCCACGATGACTCCAAGATCTTTTTCCTGACTTGTTGTAGCTAAATTAGGCCCCATCATATTGTATGTATAGTTGGGGTTATTTTTTCCAATGTGCATTACTTTACATTTATCCACATTAAATTTCATTTGCCATTTTGTTGCCCAATCACTTAGTTTTATGAGATCTTTTTGAAGTTCGTCACAGTCTGCTTTGGTCTTAACTATCTTGAGCAGTTTAGTATCATCTGCAAACGTTGCCACCTCACTGTTTACCCCTTTTTCCAGATCATTTATGAATAAGTTGAATAGGATTGGTCCGAGGACTGACCCTTGGGGAACACCACTAGTTACCCCTCTCCATTCTGAGAATTTACCATTAATACCTACCCTTTGTTCCCTGTCTTTTAACCAGTTCTCAATCCATGAAAGGACCTTCCCTTTTATCCCATGGCAGCTTAATTTACATAAGAGCCTTTGGTGAGGGACCTTGTCAAAGGCTTTCTGGAAATCTAAGTACACTATGTCCACTGGCTCCCCCTTGTCCACGTTTGTTAACCCTTTCAAAGAAGTCTAATAGATTAGTAAGACACGATTTCCCTTTACAGAAACCATGTTGACTATTGCTCAACAGTTTGTTTTTCTATGTGTCGGACAATTTTATTCTTAAATATTGTTTTGACTAATTTGCCTGGTACAGACGTTAGACTTACCGGTCTGTAATTGCCAGGATCACCTCTAGAGCCCTTTTTAAATATTGGCATTACATTAGCTAACTTCCAGTCATTGGGTACAGAAGCTGATTTAAAGGACAGGTTACAAACCTTAGTTAACAGTTCCGCAACTTCACATTTGAGTTCTTTCAGAACTCTTGGGTGAATGCCATCTGGTCCCGGTGACTTGTTAATGTTAAGTTTATCAATTAATTGTCCACATCCTTTCCATAGTGGGGGGCCCAAAACTGGACACAATACTCCAGATGTGGCCTCACCAGTGCCAAATTGAGGGGAATAATCACTTCCCTCAATCTGCTGGCAATGCTCCTACTGATGCAGCCCAATATGCCCTTCTTGGCAACAAGGGCACACTGTTGACTCATATCCAGCTTCTCATCCACTGTAATCCCCAGGTCCTTTTCTGCAGAACTGCCGCTTAGCCAGTCGGTCCCCAGCTTGTAGCAGTGCCTGGGATTCTTCCTTCCTAAGTGAAGGACTCTGCATTGTTCTTGTTGAACCTCATCAGATTTCTTTTGGCCCAATCCTCCAATTTGTGTAGGTCCCTCTGTATGCTATCCCTACCCTCTAGCGTATCAACCACTCCTCCCAGCTTAGTGTCATTAACCAACTTGCTGAGG